TTCTGTACCCTATGCCATCCCCTCTCCTTGCCCACCTTACTTCTTGAGCCTTCCAATTTTTTTTTTTTTTTTTTACTGATTACCTAAATCTTAAGGCTCAGCTCAAATTCTATCTCTACAGGAAACTATCTTAAAACTATTAGATTCTGAACACCAAGCGGTTTCTCTTTATTGCAAATAAAGATTTGATTATTCATAATCATTTACTGCTAAGTCACCTCCCAGTTTACATTACAAACTCCTTCAAAGTGAAGTCCCAAAAAGATAAGGTACTTTTTCCCTTACTCTCTTTTATTTTCTCTTCTCTTTCCCATTTGCCCTAAGTCAGGGATGGGCATATAGTAGATATCAAATATACTTACATACATAAATTTTAGCTTGATCAAAAATATCTACATTCTTTCAGTATACTTTGTCTTTTCAACCTCTATATGTCCTACTAAATTATATGTTTTCTATATTTTATTTTTTAAAAGTCCCAATTATTTTCACACTACATAAAATACATTTCCTAGCTAAAAGAAATCATAAACTATTATTCACTTCTTACATAATACAGGTTCAGTGTCCCTAACCCCAAAATCCAAAATCCAAAGTGCTCCAAAAATCCAATACTTTTTGAGTGCTGACAAGATGCTCAAAGGAAATGCTCATTGGCCCATTTCAGATTTTAGATTTTCAGAGTAGGGATGTTGAACTGGAAAATATCATGCTAATACTCCAAAATCCTAAACAATCTGAAACACTTCTGGCCACAAGAATTTCGGATAAGGGATACTCAACCTGTAAAAGGAATCAAGAATTACATTTGGTAAAACTGTTATCTTAATGTTAATTTGTTTTTAGACCATTTCAGTGAAAATGGGAGTATGTGTGTTATGTTTAAAAGAATGGGTAGTCAGAAAAGAAAAAAGCTCTCCATCAGACATAACCAGAACTTACAGACTAAATCAGATTTTTTTTCACTTTTGTCTTCCTTTCTGTGCTTTTATCTCTGTCACTATTTAAGAGATAAGATTCTGCCCTCTTCTGGCTCCAAAAAGATTTACAAAGAATTTTCAGAAGAACTGAAAAGCCTTGTTTTATTAGGCACTTAAACATACTGGAGAGCTGGATGAATTCATTAGATCTAATACAGAGGCAACTGAATTATGTATTTTTCTCTCTCAATAGGTTCATGATACTATTTATACTTTTAATATGTTTAATAATCTTTTTATCCTTTTGGTAAATATAGAGTTGAAAGAAAGAATTCTAAAAATCATTTAAAATTTATTTCTATGGTATATATTAGCAGTCAACCAATCTATATTCAGAGATAATAAAATAATGCCTCTGTTATAATTTTGATACCTGGTCTCTGAATTTCCCCACGGTAAAACTGAAATACTCTTAAGACACCAACTTACTAGATCTTGGGAGAATTGATGAGATATTGTCTAATAAGTGCTTCAAATATTTCTGGTAGGTGCTATAGGATTCATATTTATAAACACCAAAATAACACTTGGTTTTATCAAAAGAGGAGTGGGAAATGTCTAGCTGAATTCAAGTTCACTGGCAGAAAAATGAAGAGATTGTCCAAATATGTATGAAAAAGAATCAACAAAACTTTGCAATTAAATGAATGTGGGGATAAGAAGTAGCTCAAGATAGCCTGGCAGTTAACAGACTACAGAAACATTTATTGAATTCAGAAACACTAGATAAAAACGAGTTTAGAGAGATGACTGAGTTTAGTTTTGGACATGCTGAGATAATCTAAAGACCCAAGTGTTGACCTCCAAAGGTCCAGGAGGTTGAAACTGTTTTCATAATAATACTAAAACATTATTTGTCTTTTCTACTTTCATTCTTCCATGAATATACAATGGAGTTTTCCAGAGGCCACATGATGCATAATATCACAACAGACTGAATGCAAAACCAGATAGAAAAATTCAGAGGTCTATTATCCAGACACTAAAGAGATTTGCAAATGAGTAAAACAATGTCACTCTTCTCAATTTTTTTTGTTTTAGAAAATAGCTATTTTTCATAAAAAAGTTATTTATGTTACTATTGGGTTTATTTTTTTAAAATAAGATTTTAATATATTTCCAGTTTTAATTTCTAACATAGTGATTATCAACAGATTCAAAGTGCTTTGGAGTCCTCAATAACTTTTAATAGTACAAAGGGTCCTGAATCCAAAAAGTGTGAGAACTACTGCTCTAAGGAATTCAAGAAAAGACACTGAGTAAGCAGTTAAATATATGGATTTTAGCCAAAGAGACAGGTCTTATACTCTTATATGTATTTTCTACACACTAGATGAAGGATTTTTTTTTAATGTAAAGATCAAGTTACTCTTTTACTTAAAACCTTTTGATGGTATCTCATTATTTAAATTTTATGTCTGTAAGTATAAGTGTTAAGTAAAATAAACAATGTCCCAGGTTCTGAGCTAAACATTTTACAAATATTAAGTCATTTAATTCTGTTATCAACCTTACTACCTCCATTTAAAAGATATGGAAATAAGTATAGAGAAGTAAAGCAACTTGCCCAAGGTGACACAGTTAGTAAGTGGCAGAGCTAGGATTTGAACCAAGGTCACCTGGCTCTACTGTCCATGCTGTTAAGTACTATCATGCTATTAATACAACTGGATTAGAATAAAAACAAAACCTAAACTCCTTGCCATGGCTTTAAAGGCCCATATTTTGAACCTCACCTTGTACATTCTCTTCCCCTCATGCTCTAGGATGGCATTCTTCCTAGTTATCAAACAATCCAGGCTTAGTCCCACCTCAATGCCTTTGCAGCTGTTCCCTGGACACAGTTCCCACAGCCCTGTACACTGCTGGCACTCCCTCGTCTCACAGATCTCAACACAAATGTTAGTTATCACCGCAAAGAGGCCTTCCTTAACCACCGTATGTGGAATGGCATCTGTCCTGCCATGCCATCTACACTGCCACATTCACTATGACACCACCCTTTTTGTTACTTTTATTATGCATGGCATTAATAAAAATGACCTCGTCCATCTGTTTACTCTCTCTTCTAAAGGGAGCTCCTTGAGGAATCTGTTTGTCTTGTTCAGTGCAAGACTAATAATAATCCTAGCAACTTAACATCTCAAAACCTTTTTGTACCAAGACGATAAACAATATGCCCTTCATAAATTTTTTCTGAATGAATGAATATATGAAAATTCTGAGTAACGAAGATTGTGCTAGTCCTTGAAAACTATTAACAAATGTTTACTCAGTACTATAAGGTACAGAGTGCTATAAGCACAAGTAATATGAAAATAGCTGCAACATGGTTTCTTTTCTGGCTTGGAAAGTTTATGATCTAGTTTGGATTGTGGTAGGTCTGAAATACTCACAAAGAGTATTAGAAATTTCTAAAAAAAAAAAAAAAACTATCCTTACAGCTTAATATCAGATTATAGTATCTCGATATAAACTTTAAGGTTTTGAGTATTGTAGTTAAGAAATAAAAGATTTCGAAGCTGTTTAGTGGTCTTCCTCTCCCTGATACACTTTAACACACGCCAGTCATTACTTTGCTCAAAAGTACTCTTAATGTCACTGCTATTCTTTAGTCCATTCTCCCAAATCTTTGTCTATCTCTCACTCCCTAATGCTACCTTCTGATTACTGTTTTACCATGTTCATCATTTATAGCCATTAAGCCAACCTTATAAACTTGGAAGTAACCTCTGACTATTCTTACTAGGTAAAATTTGAATTCTTTAACTTAGCATCCTTTCCTTAAAAGGCCAAAATTACCTTTATTTTCAGCATTCTCTTATGAGCCTGATTTTTGTTTTGTAAACTATTACTATAGGTTAAATATTTCTAATCTGAAATCTAAAATGCTCCAAAATCCAAAACTTTTGAGTGTTAACATGACACTCAAAGGTGATGCTCAAAGGAAATGCTTATGGAACACTGTTGTCCGGTGAACTAGAACCACTGGGGATTGCCCAAAGGAAGCTGGAGAGAAGGACTTCCTGGTGGAAGATGGAACCATAAAAAGTTGCAACCACTGCCGGAGAAAATAAGGAAAGCAGAGAGAGATGGAATGAACCCTGGCATTTTCTCAACTCCCACCCACCAATCTTCCTTTAGTGCCCCCTAGTGGCTGAATCTATAGAAGTGAAAGAACAAGGAAGCCTTCAATACAAAGCTGAGTGGGAAAGACAGGGAATGGCTAGAACAATAAAATCCTTAAACTATTAAAGGTTATTTTCCTGTGTATGCTGTAACTTTTTAATGATGCCAAAAAATCATCAAATCATAAAATGCAGGAACCCATATTGTCAAACTTAGGTTGTCTGTTGCACATGACACATTTTTTAATGCCTAACACCTGAACATCCTGTTAGTAGGGGAATCCAAATATAAATGAGAGGCAGGACATGACTTCTAACCAGAGAAAACAAAATTGGAAAAATATCCCTTCTTCCAAGCTGAGAGCTAGAGTGCAAATCTGCAGTCAAATGAATGCTCCTGTCTAGGACATCGAATCTAGAGGACAGTGATACACAGAACATTCACGATGGCTAACACAAAACTGAGAGTTTAACAGTATGACGCTAGAATCAGGGGACACGGAATCCAGTGACATGGCAGTGATGGCACCAACCCGAGCATCCTAAGTAGACTGTTGTGCGACAGGGTATTGGCTGTATCTTGCTTCCCCTGGTTCCTTCCCATATTTTGAAAATGGTTCTTCAGCCTCCTTATGGTTTTATAAATTCCTTTATTCCTAGGGTTAGTTCTGTTGTTTGCAACCAAGGACTCTAGTATAAGCTATAACTTTCGTGACATAAGCCAGGAAATTCAAGTACTAATGTCATGTGCCTTGAATTCTCTGATGCATTCTTATTTGATATTAGAACACTACAGTGAAACATTATTATGCTGTACATACAAGTATTATTTATTGATTTTTCAAAACTGATCACTACAACTTAGGTAAGCTGCCAAAATTAACATAGGTACCTTTTCCAAGGTGAGAAGATTTATTTCAGACTGCAAACGGATTTCTGGTTTGTTGCTTTGCTGATCCTTGAACTGTTGGAATTCTTTTTCCAAAATCTTATACTTATTTTCAGCATCAGTAAGCTGTATTAAAAAAAAAAGTATTTATAGCAATTTTAAAACAATGATATGCAAAGTTTAAAAGTACAGAATTCAGTTCAACAGATTTTTTTATTCTAAAGCATGTTCATAGTAGAAAAGCTGGAAAATACATAAAGTATAATAAGGAAAATAAAAAACCCTAGTAATTAAAAATATAGTCAATCAACTGATTATACAAAACTTTTGAAGGTATGAAATTTCTTATAAAACCAGTATCATGAAAATTTTTTTGTTAAACTGTAAATGGCAAATTTAAAAGTCACCTTATAGAAATACTGATACTTTCTTTATACTTTTCTTAGGATGTCAGGTGTAAGAAAAGATACACCAGATAATTATCTTTGAAAATAAAAATAAGCTCAATTTTATTCTTATATTTTGATATTATATGAATTTTACAAATTCAAATACTATTACAACTTAAGGTAATGTAAAGATTATTTGGTTCAATTCCTTCATATTTACAGGTAAGAAAACTGAGGGTCAAAGAGCTAAAAAACTGAGGCAGTACCAAAGAGCTAGTGAGGTAGTCAGTTGTAGGGGCAAAAATAAAATTCAGACCTCATCCCCTAATGCTCAAATAAAACTGGTCAATAATTCCTTAAAAGAAAAAAAAAAAAACAAAAAATGAGGTAGGCTGCCCTGACTAAACATGCCAATTTCCCTTAGAACAGTTTCAAATGTAAAAACAAAAAAAAAGAGGCTATAAAGATGTTCCTTTAGAATCTGGGATTTTTTTTTTTTTGAGACAGAGTCTCACTCTGTTGCCTGAGCTAGAGTGCCGTGGCGTCAGCCTAGCTCACAGCAACCTCAAACTCCTGGGCTCAAGTAATCCTCCTGCCTCAGCCTCCAGAGTAGTTGGGCCTACAGGTGTGTGCCACCATGTCCCATTAATTTTCTACTTTTAGTAGAAAAGGGGTCTCGCTCTTGCTCAGGCTGGTCTCGAACTCCTGACCTCAAGCAATCCTCCCACCTCATCCTCCCGGAGTGCTAGGATTATAGGTGTGACCACTGTGCCTGGCCTGGGATTTTTTTTTTTATGAAATGCAAATAAGAATTGTTAAAGATGATTTCTAAAAACACATATTGATATGAGTATCCATCATTAGATAAACCAAAGATCTCTTTCCTAAGATGTAACACTTAACTATATTTCAAATACTGAGAATTTCTGGCAAAAATGTAACCTAAATCATCAACAATACACAATTCTAAATTAGGATTTTTCTAGCATCTTTAGGTAATGAGGTGTTCCATACATGAGAAATTTCCATATAACTGAAGTTTACCTCTTTTAACATCCAAAGTTGAACAGAAACCTTTCTAGAGTATTTCTCTGACTTTTCTATTTTAAACAAAAACTAAGAAACTTGATAGCACATTTGGTAGTTTCTTCACCATTCCAGGACATTACCATAAACAATCATTAAATTACAGTTGGTTGTAAAGCAGTAAGCTATTAAGGAATGCTGGCTCTTTTAAGTCCTGGAACCTGCTTTTATCTATTTGAGTACAGATATTTTATATTCATTAAGCACTCACTGACAATGGGTTTAACTGTCCCTTCTACCCATTTAGTTAGAATCGTATGTATAACACATGTATGAAGGTCAGAGTAAGGGCCTAAAAAGTTTTCCTACAAATAAAATGTGAAACGTATACATTCATGGACTTAGTAATTTTGGCATCTTGAAAACTTCCCCGTCCTTCCTGTCCCCAGGTCTTAGAGCAGTGGTGTGCCCCGGCTAATTTTTCCAAAATTTCAGTCTTTCCCACCAAGGTTCTTCCTACAAAGATGTAAGCTAATTCTACCAGTCTGTGTCAGGGTACACACATGCGTATTTTCAAGAGCTCCCCTGGTGATTCTAATACATGTTAAGAGCTTTTGTTCTACATGGCTGAATCTTCCTGATAAATGAAAGAAGAGAAGCATTGCTGGTGAATCCCATCATAATTGCCCACTTTTACAACTTTATCTTTTATATTTTAAATGAGACCTCCCATAGTAACAATCAAATTCAGACTTACAGCCACCTAAATACCGTGACCATAACTGACCCTGAGCTGCTATGGAAACCATTCTTCATGACAGAATTTACTGAAGACTTTGGAGGCATTCATCATACATATCTAATCTACACTGAAATTGTTCAAGAAAGATAAGCTTAATTTTTAACACCCTGATCCTTCTTTTCTTTAGTAAATATTTAATGAGCCCCTGGTATATGCTGATGACTGGGCTGGGCTCCTGGCATGCAGCTATAAACCAAAACAGTTTTCATGGACCAAATAATCTGACGCTCATTAAATTTTCATACTAATGAAAATAAAAACAAACTGATATAACACATCATAAAGAAAAAGGAGAATAATGTCCCATGAGAACATATAACAAAAATTTGACCTAGACTTGGGGACCAGAAGTCAGGGAAGATTTCTTGGGGTAAGCGATACTTTGGTTGAAAACTGAAGGATGTGTAGAGTTCACTAGGCTCAGAAAAAGCAGCACACACAGAGATCCTGTGGGTGAAGTGAGTATGGCATGCTTGAGGACCTGAAGGAAGACCAGTATGGCTGAAGAATATACAGCAGAGGTGAAGGAGTGGGAGATGAAGTGAAGTTGGAGAGACAGGCTCCAAACCATGCAGAGGCTTGCGGGGGAAGGTAGTGATTCTGATCTTTATCCTCTGAGCACTAAGAGGAAGCTGAAAGGTTTCAGAGAGGAGGGTGTCAAGCAAGATTCCCAAACTTCAAAAATATCTTTCTAGCTCCAACATGAGGAACAGATTAGAGGCACTCATTACTGAAATAAAGAACACTTACAGGAAGAGGCTCAGGTATGAATAGAAGGATCACATTGTGTTTTAAATGCCTTTAAGATATCCGAGTAAAGATGTCAAAAGGCAATCAGGTATATGGGTCTAGAGTACAAAGTAGGGTCTTGGATATAAATGTGAAAGTCCCAGATGTACATATAGTGTCTCAAGTTATGGGCATGGATAAGATTGTTTTGTACAAAGTAAATCCTGAGTTTGGAGGAAGTCCAACATTTAATGACTAGATACAGGAAGAGAGGCCTGCAAAAGAGCCTGAGGGGTGGCCAGAAAGGTAGAGGAAAACAAGGAGAGAAAAGATATAGAAGTTGAGAATATAAAAAACAAGGACAATAGCGTTCATGTCAGTAAGTTTTAGTCAGAGGAGAAATGAAAAATGCCCAACGAACTTAGTGACTTAGCCATTGATGGCTTCTCTGACACTGGCTAGCTGGAGGGATGGGGATGTAAAGCAGAGGGGGATGTGTTGAGAGGTGAGGAAATGTAGAGGAGCACAGATAATTCTCTTATGAAATTTGTTCCTTAACTGAATTTGGTCCAGCGCAACATGAAGAATATTTATGTTTGCTAAAAGGAGATTTATCAGAAAAAGATTTTAAGTTAGAAGTGACCTGAAATATAGTACAATTTCATGCAAATAGTTATAAGGGCAGGAAAAAATATTCCAATAATATCCCTTAGCTTTAACTTAGAAAAAGAAGATCCAACTTAAAGTATTATTTGTATCTCAGTGCAATAAATATGATTAATAGTCCAAATTACTGTGATTTTAACCATTTCTCATAATTAGTGAGCTACTTCTGTTATTTCCAGCAAGTAAACAGTATAAGAAAATGACAAGTATTTTATCCAACCTGCTGCTGAAGTCGGTGTTTATCCTCTTCTAGCTGCTTAATCTTTAACTTTTCTAGTTCTACTTGGTGAACACAGTCTTCTTTGGCTCTACGGATACAATCCTGAAGTTCTTGCATGTTCCGTTCACGTTCTGATTGCAATTCCTTTTTTTCTCTTTGAAGCTTAAAACAAAGGCATCTTTAAGAGACTGGGCTATTACTAGCTGCATTATACTGTTCAATATTTTCTTATCCTTCTATACAGTGAAATGTTCAGAATATCAACAAATTTCTGGTCATGTCGTTTTTAGTTATTAGAGAGGTAATGTTCAAGTGTACCGATATTATAAATTTTCTTTTTCTTTTTTGAGACAGGGTCTCATTTGGTTGCCTGGGCTAGCTAGAGTGCAGAGGTGTGATCATAGCTCACAGCAACCTCAAACTCCTGGGCTCAAGTGATCCTCCTGCCTCAGCCTCCTGAGTAGCTGGGACTACAGGCATGTGCCACCACACCCAGCTAATTTTTGTATTTTTTGTAGAGATGGGGTTTCGCTATGTTGCTCAGGCTGGTTTCAAACTCCTGACCTCAAGTGATCCTCCCACCTTGGCCTCCCAAAGTGCTGGAATTATAGGCATGAGCCACCATCCCTAGCCACCAATATTATTTTCAATCAATCATAATTTAATACTAATACACAAGTATATACAAAAATCCATACACAACTTGTATAAATTCAGTTGAAAAGGCCCTAACCACTAAAAATTTCCATTTAAACAAAACCCTTTTTTTATATAAGCAAATATGCCCAATTTTCTTTTCTTCTTTTAGAAACCTGATTCACTGCCTGTTCATATAGTAGGTAACAGAACCTTAGTATTAGGGAAAAAAAATCTACCTTATATTTAAATTTAAATACCCAAATTATTCAGAAATTGCAGAAAATGTATAATGATATGGTTGGGGTGATTTGCTGAGAAAATTTTAAGAAACACATTTTGGTTGAGGAAGGGGCATATAAATTTAATGTGGAAGAAATACTAATTATTTTGAAATGATCTGTACAGAAAATTTTAAAAACATTTAGGGTAAACCCTAATAAAAATGCTAACTAGGCATAATACTGACGTAAGTTCTCATCTCTTCTTTGGATCTAATCTTTAATGATCAAGAAAGAGGAAAATTCCCTTCTTCCTGAAAACAAAATTAGGATTCTATGCCCCTGAGCCTACGCTACATTTTCTCTTCTCTCTAAGCAGTGCAACTATTCATTCCTTCCACGTAATGGGAAAGCTAATCCCAAACATTCACTATTGTAGAAGTCAGCGAAAGCTGGCTGAATAATAGTTAAGTATTTCAAATAACACTTTTCTACTTATTCCTAACATTCTAACATATAAGACATGCTTTACCCAGTTGAACAGTTTTCTCCATATTGTCTGAAAGACAAGTTCTATAAAATATATGAGTATAGAGCAAAAATTAATGGTATGAACTTAATAAAAAGACTCTTTGCAAAATAAAGATATACGACAGATGAATGACATACCTCTGACTCTGCACTAGCAAGCTGCTGCTCTCGCTTCTCTAAGTCAATTAGGGTTTTTTGAAGTTTTCCTTCTAGAATAGTATATTCGGCCACCTAAAATATAGTAAAAGGTTACCTTCTCCTCAAATTAAAAAAATACACATAAATTCAAAAATACATTTCATAGAAACAGAGGATCCGAGAATAAGAAAGTCACAAATTAGATCTACCAATTCAAAGCAGAAATTCTTTTTGCCGTACTCTAAGGAAAGAAGCCCACCTAGCAACTACTCAGATATCTCTAGTGATATTCAGTCTCCCAAGAATATCCAAATTCCTACTGGCAATCACCCTGCTAGTAAAATCTTGTGCTTAGTCAAAACCTAGCTCCTTAAAATCTGCCTTACTTGATGCTCTAGTATATGTCTGAAGCACTCTGTCATTTAGACTCACAATTCTTAGAACTAAACCTGTAGTTAGATCAGCTATTCAGTTACCATTCAGTTCTCCTACTGGTTCATATCTGACCTTTTACTACAGTTCCAGTAACTGAATCCCTGCTTGGGCCACTAGCCTAGTAACCCAATTACTTCAGGCCTAAAGTTCTGCTCTGCCCTGTTTTTAAGGATATGAATGCTATACAAGACAGGAGGCCTACCTATACCAGATGTAGGATTCTCTTGGTTTTCCATCTTTCAATTTAGACCTATCACTTTTTACTAGAACTTTCTGAACTAATTTTTCCACCATCTTCACCAACTTGTCTGCAGGTCCCAGGCCCTATTCTGATCCTCTCTTTCCTATTGCCAGTAAAGCCCTGGTTTGATAATCCTACTTTTACCCTTGGACAGAGGGGGAAAAAACCCATATGTTTACATATTTGAGACTGGTAATAGGCATCACATCTCTTCCTAGTCTTTATGTTAGAGAAGAAAAAACACAAATTTGAATTGTTATTCACATATTATGATCTCCACAGCCTCTAATATCTTGGAGGTTCCAGACTAAGTCCTTTCAAAAAATATAATACCCAGCTGTGATCTCACCATTTGAGAGACCAGATAGTGTACTGCCAAATACGAAGACAACCTATGTCTATTACCTCAGTGTAAAACTGCATTTGCTATTTGAGGATCCTAGTCACGCTGTTAATGTCAAAGTGCTTTTGTTTTAAAATCTGGCATAACTATGCCCACTGTCCATGTGACTGTTTTGAGTACAGAATTTGACCTTTGCCCTTGTTAAACTGAATTTTGATGATATAGGCCCAGCATACCAACCAATCAGGGTCATTTTATATATGAATTCTGTTAACTCTACCATCTAGTTTTGGTTCATTGACAAGCATGTCTTCTGTTCTTAAACAAATCACTAATATAAACACCCAAACATCTGTGTTCCCAGAGTTCTGTCTCAGGATGTCTTTTCCTCCTGTGCTACATGACCTCCTTCGGTGAGCTCATCTACCGACCATCACATGTACTAAGGACTCCCAAATTTATATTATAAGGCCAAAACTCCTGCCAGAGTTTCAAGCCAAATACCTACTGAACATATATCAATATTCCTCATATCTCAAAATTCAAAAATGTATAAAAACCTGAAATCATAATTTTTTTTTTTTTTTTTTGAGACAGAGTCTTGCTCTGTTGCCCGGGCTAGAGTGCCGTGGCATCAGCCTAGCTCACAGCAACCTCAAACTCCTGGGCTCAAGCAATCCTCCTGCCTCAGCCTCCCGAGTAGCTAGGACTACAGGCATGCACCACCATGCCTGGCTAATTTTTTCTATATATTTTTAGTTGTCCAGCTAATTTCTTTCTATTTTTAGTAGAGACAGGGTCTCGCTCTTGCTCAGGCTGGTCTTGAACTCCTGAGCTCAAACAATCTGCCCACCTCGGCCTCCCAGAGTGCTAGGATTACAGGCGTGAGCCACCATGCCCAGCCATAAGTTTTTACTTTAATAAATATTTATTATACACCTAACTTATTCTGTGGATCTTATATTTTGAGGGAAAAGAGACTATAAATAAGTACATATATAACATAAGTAAATGCTATGAAGAAAATAAAGCAGAGTGAGAAGACAATACCTGGGGACAGGAGAAGGGAGCATTATTTTGGAAATGGTAGAGAATCTCATTGAGATTATTCTGAACAGAGACCAGAAAGTATCTCTGAAAGAAGAGCATTCCATAGACCCTAAGGAGAGAGGTGACTTAGCATGTCTGAGGAACTACATGGAGGCCAGTGTGGCTGGAACAGACTGTGTGAACAGAAAGCTGATGGAAGATGAGGTTAGAGAGGAAGCCAGGGCACAGATTATATAGGGCCTTATAGGTCCTAGTAAGAACTCTGAGTTTTATTCTAACTGTGATGAGCAGTATGATGGGTTTTGAGGAGAGGAGGACATAATCTGACTTTAATTTTAAAAGCCTCCCTCTTGGGCTGGTATGGATATAACAAGGTACAGGGGCCAGGAATGGAGGAAGGGATATCAAGTTAAGAAGTAACTGCAGTAATCTAGGAGAGAGAGATCATGATGGCTTAAACCAGGTTAATAGTGATGGAGGTGGCTGAAAGTGGTTTCCAGGATACATTCTAAATGTGGAGCCAACAGGATTTGCTAATGAACCAGATGTGGAATGAAAAAGTCAAGGATGACTTGGCTTGCAGCCTGAACAACTGAGTAAAAAAGTAGTGCTATTTATTAAGATGGGGAATCAATAGAAGAAAATTTACAGAAGATGGAGATACTGTTTGCAGAAACATTAAATTTGGGATGCATATTAGATAGCCAATTGGCAATGCAGGCAGCTAAATAGCCAAGGGCATAAGGAAAGTTGGGGATGGAAGTAGGTAGGGGTGTGTGTGTGTGTGTGTGTGGTGTATAATACATACAATTTGATGTACATAATACCAAGAAAGTAGATGAAATCACCAAAGAAGTGAGTGTAGAAAAAGATCTGAGGACTGGACCCTGGGACAAGCCAATATTTAGAGTTTGGGATAAAGAGGAGGATCTAGCATGAAAATTGGGAAGGAGAGATGACTGAAGACATACAAATACAACAGGAAAGTACAGTCAAGGAAGCCCAGTAGAGGAAGTGTTGTAAAAGGGGAGGGAGAAAACTGGGTGAGGATGAGGGAGGATTGTTAGATAAGAGAAAAACACTGTGAATTAACTGTTCTGGAGAGTGAGAGAATGAATTGAGTAGGGACAGCAGTAGGATTGTAAGGCAACACTAAGGATCCCATAAGGCCTAAGGTTGTAAACTTCCTTAACATCATCTCTTTAAAACCCATTCTGTAATCTTTTCTCCACAATCTTATTGCTACTGTTAGTTTTCAGCCTTCATTTTCTTTTATACAGATTACTGCTTTACTGGTCTCTTGACTTGAGTTTCACATCCTCTGTTCCATCCACTATACTTCCATCCGAATGTCTGTTCTAAAACAAAAATTATCTTATTCCCTATATAAAAATCTCCATTAAAAAAAATTTCTCAAATTTTTACCTTTCTCAACCAGGGTTCATCATGATGTGATTATTTTCTCCATCCTCTCCTAAAATGGCACATAACTCTAGCACTCTAAATGAGCAGGATAAAGTTAATTCATTACCAACAACAGATGCCTTAGGGCTTCATTCTCTCAGGGAAGCCTGGCTGAAAACGCCTACAGGATCTAGTCTAAACTATTCATAATCTCTGTCAGCCTCTTCTACTTTATTTCATGAGGCACACCCTGTGCTCTCTTCCTCCCACATCAAACTACATACAATTTTCTTAATGCACAGCCTATGTCAAACTTCTCTGCCTTTGCTCAAGGGGCTTTCTCTGTTTGGAATTACCTTTGGGTCCACCTGGCAATATCTACTAATCTTCACCCAAGAGAAAGCAAGATATTATCTATAAAACACTTCCTCATAGCCCCCTTATGTAGAACTGATGTCTTCCTTCTTTGTGGGTACACGATAGCTATCTTCAGCTAACTGATGGGCAGTCATATGCAATACAAGTAAATATTATCTCAACTGTTCCAAATGGCAGAACAGGAACCAGGTGTGTATATATATACTCCTTCAGGTAAACTTTCAAAGTATGAAAGAAGTTATACAGTGTGTTAAGAAAAACTTCAGGTAAACAAAATAAAAATAAATGAACAGAAAAGACTCATATATAATTGAATGACACTTATACGTGACCCCAATTACCCTGATTTGATTAATATACATTGTATGCCTATATCAAAACATCACCAGTACTCTATAAATATATACAACTATTATGTACCCATAATAACTAAAAAGTTTAAATTTAAAAAAATTAAAAGATGAAAAAATACAATGTGAGATTTTCAGAGCATTTAGCTTTAAAAGATTTCATCATATTGAGGAACAACTTTTTTTCTCCCTAGTGACTTCACTTTATAGTGGCTTATAAAATTTTTAAAAACTGATCACATGTTAGCACATCCCAGTTCACAATATTCTTTCAAGATAAGACACTTTAAGATAAATGAATCAAAGTATTTAGTCTCAAAATGCACTTAGGTTGAAAGAAAATGGCAAATCTAAAACTCAAATCTACTTTTACAATATAACTAATTCAAACAGACAGCTTAACCACTTACTAGGCAAGCAGCATATTCTTTTTTAATGTTGAGATAGGGTCTTGCTCTGTTGTCAGGCTAGAGTGCAGTGGTGTCAACATGGCTCACTGCAACTTCAAACACCTGGGCTCAAGTGATCCTCCTGCTTTAGCTTCCCAAATAGCTGGGACTACAGGCACACACTACCACGCCCAGCTGATATTTCTATTTTTTGTATAGACAGAGTCTCACTATGTTGCTCAGGCTGGTCTCCAACTCCTGGCTTCAAACAATCCTCCCACCTCAGCATCCCAAAGTGCTGGGATCACAGGCATGAGCCACTATGCCCAGCCCATCATATTCTATTTTCTAACAGTTATTAACTAGCTCATCAATTCAAGCTGAAATGGTAAAAGTTGAATACATGGAAACCAATCAAAAATTTTAACTGAAAAGATCATCATTATTACCAAAATGAAAAACCAAAAATTACTTGGGCAAGTTTTTTTCACCTCATTCCATTAAAACGGATTTTTTTTTTCAAAAGAAAATTTAATTATGGTACAAATTGGATTTGTCGCAGTTCTTATAATTTTATTAACTTTTCAAAATTTTTCCTGATTTGAATTTTGCAAAGCTCAATTCGGAAAAATTCTTCAACAGCATGGAAGAAAATGGCTTAAAGATAAACTCGTGTCTTAAAGGCTAGATGAAAAATTCAAAAAACCAAAATGATATTTTCCAGCTTCCTCGGATCAATTAATATTGTAATATATTAGGTCTGTGAATATTACTTAATATAAAACTCACTTTTAGTAACAGTAAAACTAGTATGTTTAAATATATGTGAGGAATTCTAATTATTATAATTTTTATTATGTGAACATTTCATAAGATAGATGCTTTGAAGTAGTCTTGCTATCTTTTTCTTTTAGCTTTTTTTAAAGCTCACTGCTTATTCAAGTTTTTAATGGTTGAGAATTAAGTTAGACAAAGCTGAAATGGTCATTTTAAAGTCAAAGGCCTGTGGGACTTCTGCTTCTACCCATCAATGACAAATTGCCCATCTCTATAAACACAAATTGAACAAAGTATATGAAACTGTTTTCAGACACAGGTCGATGAGCAGCACAGGACTAGGAACCCTAAGAGACAGGAAGGAAGTAAATGAGGCAAGCCCTACAGTAACTCTAGCTTACTGTCTGAGGGTAATTTTCAGACTAGCTCAAGGAAGGAGAACTCAAACAGAGCCTTGCAATCTTGTTCAGTTGAGGAAACAAACAGACTGGATACCGGAGAGGCTGAGGCAACTAGAATTTGTGAGGAGAGGAGGGAGATGCATAAAGAATGAGCACTGGAGACATGCAGAGTCATCCCCTCAAATTTGAGGCTGAATACTGATTTAGATACTAACGTATTTCTAAATTCCTAAAATTAGAATATTCAAAAATAAGTCTAATTGTCAGGGTTGTTTTATTTAATAAATTGAGTGTAAATGAATAAATACTGAACTTTTCCTTCTGGAATAAGATCAGATGGTCTCATGTTATCATTTTTAAAGATGTGATTTATTTCATGATTTAATTCTTAAAAGCAGCTTAAGCATTTTTCAGACTTTTTATTAATATTTATTTATTTTTTTAGGGCTGGGGTCTTGCTCTGTCACCCAGGCTGGGGTGCAATGGCTCCACAGCTCACTGCAGCCTCAAACTCGTAGGCTCAGAGAACCTCGTAGGCTCAGAGAATCCTCCCGTCTCAGCCTCCTGAGCATCGGGGACTACAGCAGCAAGACTTAACTTTCAGACTACAATGTAATTTTTATATATACTGAAATGTGCTATCTTCTTTTTCATACATCAGCAGGCTTTTTCTCTAGAGTAGTCTTTTTTTATATTTATACATGTTTTGAATAGGTAATATAGTTGCATGTTTCAAAATCCAAGAAGCACAAAACATCTTACAGTGAAAAGCCTCCCTTCTACTCCAACCCATCTGTTCACCCCTTCCATACCAACACATAATCACTATAATGTTATTCCTTCCAGAGGTCTTTCTTTAATGCATATGTAAGATGCTATCATTAATATTCTTCCTTTCCTCCCTCAATTTTGACACAATTTATTACCTTTTTCTTTACTAGTGATTCTCTCTCTCGGTCCCTTTTCTTCCATTCCTCTGCAAGAGCCTGCATATGAGCCAGTTCTTTCTGCTTTAGCTACAAATGAAAGAAAAATAAAATCACAAAAACACCCCAAATAGTTCAAATAAATGACTCAGTTCTTTTCAATTAAAGAGCTAATAATAATCACTAATATGTTTTTTTTCAGGCATTCTATTTTTTTTTTTTTAATTTCACATTTTACCTTTGCGACATTGGGTTTGGGAAAGAGAAGCAGTCATGAGTATACGGAACTGTGTATCTCCCTGTGCAATATGGATCCAAGTTCAAATTGTCTTAAGTCCAGGATGTGGTTCAGAGTCAGCAGAGGTCGACCACTGCTGCTGGGGAGTATGGGTGTGAGGAGACATGGTCCTTCTGCTTCAGGCCCAGAGTCTGCTGCAGGTTCTCTCTCTAAGGACAGGGTTTGCTCTTGGGCCTCTGGTTGCACTCAGGAGCAATCCTGTACAAAGTCCCACAAGCTTGTAAGCATCTGAAGACACTATACCAGCTCTTCTTTAAATGGATGACCTTAGAGTCCAGCTTCTTCATAACTGTCTTTATCCAGTGATAAAATTAATTTTCCATTTGATAGGATGGCAATACTTTTATTTTCATCAATATCTGTATCGTACGTATGTAAGTGCACAGCATGAACCCTGTAACTGTGACAGTGGGTCTCCACGAGATGCCAGCGGTGTGACTTGGCGTGGCCAAAGTTGGATTTCTCACAGACCCAGGTGGCCAGAACCTCTCACAGCCTACAAAGGGTGCCATGAGTACCCCGGCCCTCCTGAAGCTCGCTGCCTGCCCCTTTCCTTGCCACACCTCTTCCCTCCGCCCCATTCTTTTTCTCTCTCTCTTTTTTTTTTAAAGAATAAAAGGATACCTAAGGCAAGTCACATTCATACGAGTCTAATTCAGGAGAATATAGGGCTAACAATGGGTTCTGTTTTCTAACTCTCTTGTTTGGAGACTGATGATGCCAGGTTCTAGAAGCATATGCCAAATGAGGATCTGAGACTGAAAGAGTACCCTTCTTTCCTAATTTTGTCCAATCATCATGGACAAAGTTGGGCATTCTTCTGAGTGAGGACTGCCAAGTTGTCACAGGTCAAGTATTTTTTCATTCTCAATTTTTCTTTAAAAGTTAGGTATTGTTGACATTCAAAGAAACTAGATAGGGTACCCATTGAATATAGAAAACCCAGCTATGGAGAAGGAAAAATATGCAAAGTGAACAAAAATAGATTGTTTTAAGTGACATTTAAAAAGTAACCTGATTTTCAAAAATGTCTTCTTGCATCTCCTTCCACATTTCTAGTTCAAGTGCTGCTTTGTATTCTAAAGTTTCCCGAGGCTCTGTCTGGATCTCTGAAGGACAAGGTGCTGGAGGAAGAGAAGATGGCTTCTGTTGTACAGCAGATACACCCTTGGATATGAATAAAAAGCACATTTAAACAAACACACTCACACATATACATATATTAGATCCCTTTTAAGAAATAATTTGATAACTCAATTATATTTACCTGAGATGAATCAGAGACAAAGATCTCACGCATTTTTACCAGTCCATAATCTTCTAGAGTCATTGTGTAAGAAAGGTCTACTATCCTGTTATTTGACCTACAAATGAAATAAAAAAATCTTAAAATTCATGGAAACACTTTTATATTATTTTTCCTTTTATTTCCCCAGTGCTTTAATGTTGAGGAATAAGCAACATTTCTTACACCTGATGCTTTTGCTACTGAAACTGTAGCAGCTTCTATAGGCTTCAAGACCTTCCATATACATGATTTGATCATCATGAACAACCTATTAAGTATATATCATATTTATTACAAAATGACCTACAATAGCTATACATTTTTTGGAAAAACTGAAAAGTATAAAGGTAAAATTTAAAATCTTACTACCTACAGGTAATTGCTGCTAATATTTAATTTTCTTCCCCTTTATTTATATGTAGATACACATGTAGGCATGTATGTTAACATTATACAGTTTTGTCCTGTTTTTCTATTTATATCAGGAGCATTTTTAATTTAAAAATATGATTTTTACTGCCTATAAAATAACTAATGAATTTATATAATAAAATATATTTAATAATTCCCCTACTCTTGATTATATAGGTTATTCTGAATTCTTTTTTCTATTCTTTTTTGCCGGGATGAACATACTCGTACATAATTTTTTTACTGGATACAAACACTGCCTCAGTATAATTCCTAAAAGTAGGATAATTATACATTATTTTGATCATAAGAAGCGCCTCTTTGAATCATAGACCTGCGTGTAGCATTTATCTTTAACTAAATGAAAATAAGAAAAAATATTAGAGGAAAATAAAATCTTGGCAACAAAAAAAACCATGGTTTTGTCTAAATCAAATGTATGCCAGTTGAACAAAACTTTAGTAAATGGATCTCACAATTAGAACTCTTAATCAACTTTTACGTTTTCTTCTAATCTCACAGATTTCAGAAGAAATGAATAAAGTAAAATAAAGCAGTACTGTATCTGAGAGAAACTCCTGAGCATATCTGAAGTTGTCACTTAGGTAAATCTTCTAAAACTTCTCCGTCTACAGAGCAGGGCAATAAAATGTTCATAACAGCATTAAAATAGCTTTAATTATTAGTGATTTGGTTATATTCTACTTATGACAGAACAGAATGCAAATTTTTAAAGGAGATTTTTTTCAATAAAAGGAGTTGAAACAAAAAGAATTTTCAGTTAACCAAACAACTGATTCTCTAAGACACCTGTTCTCAGATCTCTCAAGTGAATAAAAGTTTTTTTACAAAACTTCAGTCTCTGGAAGTGGCTATGAATAGGGAGGAATAAGGGAAGAAATTTCAATAATACTTTTAGATCTAAGATTTTTACTGAGCATTATTTCCTTCTATATCCTTACTATGCTCTAAAGATAAAAGCATATAATAAATAATGTTAAATTTTAACTGTTAATTTCAAAAAGACAATTAACAAATACTTTATTTAAAATGTGACAAACTGAAGTTTTTCATCGTGACAATGAAGCTCAGGGCAGAAAAACAATTATTTTAAAAACTGCCTTCAACTGCCGAATATTTGTTAGCATCCTCAGACTTTAGATTTGAGGCAGAAGTTAAAACATTTTTCAAGTGGAAAAACAGTCACAGCCATTCCCAATGCAAAATAATGTAAAATACTTTATAAATTTAAGCTTGAATTACAAAATAAAAAACTAGATCCTGAATTTTAACTTGTCAAACTAAAGAGAGGGGAGGGAAAATACTTAGTTTGAGTAAGTATTATAGGACTATAGTAGCAAAGATTCTTTACTTTTGTGAAGTAAAATGGGAATCAGAAAGCTAAAAAGCAAACTGGAATATATAGCCCCCTCAGGTCAAAGAAGAAAAATCAGGAAAAAAGAAAATATGCAAGGGTGAAGTTGTGGCTCTTCAGAATCATTATATGAATAAAAAAGCAAAGCGAAGATCAATGTTATGAAATGCATTACCCTTGTGCTGCTATAACAGGGACACTTTCACTGTAAGTCTGACGCCAGCACTGTTCAGCATTAGAACCTAAAAAGCGAGTTTTTTCTGAAGACAAGATGTTAGAAAGCTGGATTCTTGCAATTCCCAGAAGTAAATCTTTACTCATTTTATCCTTATGCCATAATTCAACCAGCAATGGAATCCTAAGGAAGAGAAAAAAACGTGTTCATACCTATCAACTCTGAAGTCTCTTCTGAACTAAAATCTTTGAAGTCTGTTAATGTAGTCGAGAGATGTTTTTGTTACTTGAAATGTTATCTAGTACAATTGTTAGATTAAAGGCCCAATTCCACAGGAAGCAAAATGAAATACAGTTATGCACCATGTTAACAATGTTTCTGTCAATGATGGTACACATATATGACAGAGGTCCCATAGGATTATAATACCATATTTTTACTACACCTATATGTTTAGATACACAAATACTTACCATTATGCTCCAACTACCTATAGTATTTAGTACAAGTAACATGCTATAAAGGTTTGTAGCCTAGGAGCCAAGGACTATATACCATCTAGCCTAGGTATGTAGCAGGCTATCATCTAGGTGTATACAAGAACACAATGTTTTCACAGCGACGAAATTACGTAATGACCGACATATTTCTCAGAACCTATCTCTATCATTAAAGGACACATGACTGTACTGTTTCATTCTCTATACCTCTTTCTATGTAATAAAGAAAACTCTTCAAACATTATTCTCACAAAGGTAATTTTTAGTTACCCTTCATTCTTCCTTTTAAAATAATATATAAAT